TCTTCCCACCCAACTTCCCCAGTTCCTTTCCCTTTGGTAACTGTTAGTCCCTTCTTGGGTTCTGTGATTCTGCTGCTGTTTTGCTCCTTTGATTGTTTTCTTTGTTCTCATACTCCACATATGAGTGAAATCATTTGGTACTTGTTTTTCTCCACGTGGCTTATTTCACTGAGCATAATACCCTCTAGCTCCACCCATGTTGTTGCAAATGGTAGGATTTGTTTTCTTCTTATGGCTGAATAATGTTCCATTGTTCTCTCTGACCTCTTTTGATAACAGCTCTTCCTTTCGTGGACTGTGGGTTTTCATGGTGTCATGAGAGCTCAGTGAATCAGGAGACTGGAGTGTGATTTTAAAAAGCCTGATAAAGGTGATTACTATTAATAAATACATAACTGCCAGTAATATTTTTCTACTTTTTAAAGTGGTGGTATTGCAAGACTGAGCTCTGAGAAACTCTGGGTTTTATCAACAGTTATATTTATCTTCTCTTTGACTTTTACACATAATGGGAACTTTGGCTGCTTATTTCTGATCCACTTCCCTTTGAGTAAATGCTGATGTTTCCTCCCTGTACTCTACTTATTAATGGATTTTGAAGTCAGATTTCAAAAATTCAGTATGTTACAATTTGAAGGTCAAGCCTTAAGATTGTTTTTAAACATGCACAAACAGAAGAGGAATTAAAGAAATTTTAGTTTAATACCCCTCTGCTAAGTCAGTGACTTTCTCTTTACTGACTAGACATGGCTGCAAATTGTGACTCAGGGGCTGCCTCTCCCTACATTGTGGAAAAATGCCAACTGAGCCAATTCCTCTACTAAATCACACTCTCTTCTGTTTGCAAATGCTCTCATTTACATGAGAACCCCACCCACCATAAAGGTTTTTTTTGCAGCAAGATGGTAAGGCAGACAGACATTGGCATGTTCACCAGTAGAAAGGATCTCATTTTTATCTGTCTGCTGCATGTCAAGATTTGCTGGTTTGTGTTTCTTTCACTCCCCTTCACCCCCAGCAGACAGAAGAGCCACATGAGGCCTGGGAACCAGAGCAGCGTGTCCGAGTTCCTCCTCCTGGGGCTCCCCGTTCCCCCGGAGCAGCAGGGCGTGCTCTTTGCCCTGTTCCTGGGCATGTACCTGACCACGGTGCTGGGGAACCTGCTCATCATCCTGCTCATCAGGCTGGACTTGCGTCTCCACACCCCCATGTACTTCTTCCTCAGCCACCTGGCCCTCACTGATGTCTCCTTCGCATCTGTCACTGTTCCTAAGATGTTAATGAGCATGCAAACTCAGGATCAATCCATGCCCTATGCAGAGTGCGTAACACAAACATATTTTTTCATATTTTTTACTGATCTGGACAATTTTCTTCTCACCTCAATGGCCTATGACAGGTATGTGGCCATCTGTCACCCCCTCCACTACTCCACCATCAGGAGAGAGGGGCTGTGCATCTTCCTAGTAGCTGGATCCTGGACCCTCTCCTGTGCCAGTGCCCTCTCTCACACCCTCCTCCTGGCCCAGCTGTCCTTTTGTGCTGACAACACCATCCTCCATTTCTTCTGTGACCTTGGTGCCCTGCTAAAGCTCTCCTGCTCAGACACCTCCCTCAATGAGCTGGTCATTTTCACAGTAGGCGTGGCAGTTATAACTATACCACTAATATGCATCTTGATCTCTTATGGCCACATTGGGGCTACCATCCTGAAGGTTCCATCTACCAAGAGGATCTGCAAGGCCTTGTCGACCTGTGGCTCCCACCTCTCCGTGGTGTCTCTGTACTATGGAACAATTATCGGGCTGTATTTTCTCCCCTCATCTGGCACCTCCAGTGACAAGGACATAATTGCATCTATGATGTACACAGTGGTCACCCCACTGCTGAACCCTTTCATTTATAGCCTAAGGAACAGGGACATGAAGGACGCCCTGGAGAAACTCTTCAGCAGGGCAACCGTCTTGTCTCAATGATGTCTGCTCATCTTTATGATGATGCATGTACTCACATAACTTCAGATGCTAGACGCCTAATCTTGAGCCCAGCCTGGAGTAAGTGCTCAGTAAACATCTGACGACTTCGAGTTGCATTCTCTCTTATAGTTATTCTGTCTTTTCCCCGTAATTCTTTAGTATAGATTGAGAATTCTGAGTTGATATTATTGATTATTGCTCCTGTCTATTAGGTTGAGAAATTACATAGCTAGTGGAACATGTGCATCTCCTGTTTACTTCTTGGGAATTTTTTAGTTCTTTTTATTGAACAGCTTTATTGAGGCATAATTGGTGTATAAACATTGTATATACTTAGAGTGAACAACTTGATGTTTTGATATGTTGATACTGTGAAATGACCACAATAGTCAAGCTAGTTAATATATCCATCACCTTCAAACAGTTAACGTTTTATATGATTTTTGTGTGTGTGGGGAGAAGACTTAATTTGCAATTCTGTCATTTCCAACAACACGGATGGACCTAGGAGGTATTATGCTTGGTGAAATAAGTCAGATGATTTGATTTACATGTGGAATCTAAAAAATAAATAAAACAATGAACAAGCAAACAAAACAGAAATAGATTCATAAATACAGAACAAACTTGGGGTTGCCATAGGGGCGAGGGAGAGGGGATGGGTGAGATGATGGCTGAAGAAGATAAGGAGGTGCAAACTTCTAGTTAAAAAATAACTAGTCAGGGGGATGAAAGTACAGCACAGGGAATATAGTCAATAATATTGTAATGTCTTTGTATGCTGACAGATGGTAACTATGCTTATTGTGGTGAGCATTTAGTAATGTATATAATGGTCAAATCACTATGCTGTATACCTGAAACCAATATAATATTGTGTATTAGCTGCATTACAATTTCTAAAAATCTTGAGGAACTGAGGAAACAAATTTATGATCACCTGCTTTTTAAAAAAGTGTTCCAAACAAGAGGAAGGCAAACACCCTAAGAGGGCAAGGGGCACCAGCAATCGTCATCACCCACCCCAACCAATCCCAATTAAAAGCACATCCTAGTCACATCACCCTATCAAAATGCAAAGACTTATAAATAATTTGTGCTCCAGTATGAATCATTTGAATGTCAACATCACATTAACCCTATCTGAAATGGGTCACCTTACAGGAATAGAAGTTTGAGTATAGGGCCTGGGAATGGGTGTACTAGCATGTATCAAGGGAGGAGCTAGTTTGGAGCTTTCAATATAGTGATAGCTATTTTGGCCAGGTGGGACCTAAGAATGTTGGCTACCTACTCAACTGTGATAGGCAACAGTGTCCCTGTGTGTGCCCGGTGACTAATTGCTGACCGCCGCACAGCCAAGCTGGGGGAAACCAAAATGGACACCCAGGCTCACCTAGTTTGCTCGATGGCTGTGGGAAAGAACTTCAATCCAGCCCTAAACAGGGTTCAGACACGACCCATGCTCTTAATGGATTAAGATTCCCTAAGTGTCAGGATGGAGAAACTAGGGAAGCTGCCATGTAAAGAAGGTGGGGTTGGCTGGGCCAGTTTGAGTGGCAGGTTGAGGATCTCAGAGGGGACATGGGCTGCAGGGAGAGTGTGAGGGTGTCTCCAGAGGTGTCACATCTCATCAGCTGTGTCATCAGGGGCCTCAGAACTTTGCCAGGGCATCCTCTCCTGAAAAAGCTGATCATGAGAGTTTGAGGGTATTTTCTCACCAGTTCAAAGGACAAAAGAAAGCTAGAGGCCAGTGGCTCAGAGGACACTGTGTGTGGCCCATAGTCTGTGGAATAACATGTCAACAGGGTGAGGGGAGGGTGGACAGATCCCAGGGGTGCACCAGCTCCAGCTCCAGCTCCGATTCTATGAGCAGGCCCTCTTCACCCCATCCAGGGACTCAGAGAGTGCATCTGGAGAGGACATTTAGAGAGAAGCACAGAAGTCCCACCCCAGGTCATTAAAACAATGAACTCTTGAGTACTAACTCGAGGCGTGCCACTCAAAATGATCCACATCTGTCCTCAACAACTGCTGAAGCCTGGGACAGTTTGATCCCATGAAAGATGCTCCGTAATCATAGGGATAATGAAACATTTTAAGGCAGATTGGGCATGAGAAACAAATGCGATGGGGAGGGGCATCTAGGCAGCAGTGGACACTTTGTCACACAAGATGAAAGGAATCAAAATTCTATAGCCCTTTTATTTTAAGAATAATATTTTTAATAGAGCTAAGATTTTTGGAGGCAGAAGATAACATATATGCCTATAAGCATAATTTTTTCCCTATTTCTGCAACTAATTAAAGCTGTGGGTGCCCCTTTTAGATCTGAAGGTGAATAAGGAAAGAGGGTTGCAGTAACAATGAGGACTGAACATTCCTAACGGGAGAAGAGGCAGCACAAGGTGCTCTCATATCCTTCCTGGAGAAATCTTGGCAATCCATGGGAAGCGAGGCAACCAGCATGCAAATCTAAACGCTGAATTTCAATCTCCTGATGGGGACCTCTCTGCTTATTCTGCATTTCCTGAAATGTAGGCTCCGTCCTCCATTTCTTTTGTCTTAACCTCTATTTATCACTCTAAACAGGACCGATGCCCCCCAACGTTTTGTGGTTGGCAAATTAATAACCTAGAATGAAAGGGTCACAAAACCTGGGACTTTGTGTTGCTCACTGCTACATCCCCAGCACTTTTACAGCTCGTAGAACATAGTACATGTCTGATATATATTTGTTAAATGAATGAATCTCAGAGAAAAGATTTTTTTGACTTTTTGAGTTGGGGAGGGATGAAAGTGACACCAACAATAATAATAATAATAATAGCAGTCATTTATTGCAAACCTAGCATGACTAGCCACTCTACCAGATGCATTTTGGTTTATCTCAGTTAATCCTCCAAAACATCTTTTTTTATAGATGAGAAGGCTAAGGTTTGGAGAGGTTAGGTAACAGGACTACAATCTCATGGCTAGTGTGTGGCAGACCCGAAGCTGAAGGTATGTTTGTCTGACACATGCCTATGTCTTTTCATTAGAAGTTGCTATCACTCTATCTAAGAGGAACAAAGTTCTGCTGCTGAGGAGCCTATTAATGGCCCCCTTCATGTCCTTGTTCCTGAGGCTGTAGATAAAGGGGTTCAACATGGGGGTGACCACGGTGTACATCACAGCTGCCACAATGTCCTTCTCTGCAGAGGCAGCAGAGGGGGGACACAGGTAGGCACTGAAGAGGGTCCCGTAGAACACACAGACAACACAGACGTGAGAACTGCAGGTGGAAAAGGCCTTGCCCCTACTGCCAGGAGTTCGGACCCTCAGGATGGCCCCTACAATGTGGAAGTAGGAGATGACAATGCAAATAAAGGGGACGATGAGGACAGTGCCTCCTAAGGCAAACACAGTCAGCTCGTTGACGTGGGTGTCAGAGCATGACAGCTTCAGGACAGGCGTTATGTCACAGAAGAAGTGAGCAATTTCCCCGACAACACAGAAGGATAACCGAGCCACGAGTAGCGTGTGAGTCAGGGCAACAATATGGGTGAGGGCCCAGCACAGGGCAAGCAGCAGGATGCAGACGCGGGGGCTCATGACTGTGGGGTAGTGGAGAGGGTGGCAAATGGCCATGTAGCGGTCATAGGCCATCACAGCTAGGAAGAAGCTGTCCAGATCACCAAACATCAGAAAGAAATACATCTGTGCAAGGCACCCAGCGTAGGAGATGGTGTGATGCTCAGTGTGCACGTTTACCAGCATCTTGGGAACTGTGGAGGATATTAAACCCATGTCAACGAAAGAAAGGTTGGCCAAAAAGAAGTACATGGGGGTGTGGAGCTGTGGGTCAGAGCTGATGGCCAGGATGATGAGCAGGTTCCCAGTCAAGGTGACAAGGTACATACACAGGAAAATTCTGAAGAACAACTGTTGTTGCTCTGGTAATGCAGATACTCCTCGGAGGAAAAATTCAGAGATGCTGGATTGGTTTTCCATGACTCTGCAGCATCTGGGAGCTGTAAGCACAGGTAGAATGCTAGATTTCTCCTAGAACTTTACATGTGCTGACCCCCAAATCTTCCAGCTCCCAAATCTCCCTTTAAATTACCATCCCCAATCCTGGCTTTTCCTCTAATCTGATCCCATTTCCTTCCTCTTTCTTCTTCTTAGGAATCTTACGGATTTTTCTTTTCCTCTCTCTTTCCCTCTGGCCAATCTTTATGCCAAAGACACTCTTCCAAGGAGGCTCTGGGCATGTTTAGTGCTGGCATGACCGAGCCTTACCAGGGCTACAGACCCGTATCAGGTTCATAACTGCAGTAGCAAGGACAGGGGAATAGGCTGAGGAGGGCTGATTCTTACGTTCTCTTGGTAGTCTCTGAATCCATACAAAATTCTTTTTAAAACTCTCACAGTATCTCATACAGAGCAAAGGGCCTATGAAAAACTCATGAGTCTTTATTTCCTTATCATTTCTTCTGAAACATGAAATACAGAGTTCTGCATTTTTTCCCTGTGTTTGAGTTTTTGTCCTTGACCTCATCATCATCCTGTAGCTACATTTACTAGCCATGGGTTATGTGTCAGGCTCTCTGCTAAGCCCTTCATTCAAGTTGTCTCCTTTAACCCTTAAACAACACTTGGAAGCAGAGGTCATTACTCTTCCCATTGTACAGAGAAGAAAACGGAGGCCAAAGATGTTTTGAGTCATTTGCACAAGGACCTACAGCTCATAAATATTTGAGACAGGATTCAAACCCATAGCACTGGACACCTGAGACTGTATCACCAATCAACACACAAAGGTTTTCTATCACCACATTTATATTCTCAGTATTCCCAGTTTGGTATCTTCGGCCTCACTTGCCCTTCCTATCTTGCATACTTGTCTTTTATAGAAGAACCAAGAAGTTTAAGCACTAGACAGAAGCAGAGCGTCTTCTGGCCCGAGGTCCCCAAACATCATAAGCAAGGGAGACACTTGTTAGAAACACAGAATCCTCAGACCTACTGAGTTAAATTCTCTAGAATATAGTCTGGGTGTCTGTGTTTAAAAACTAAGACTAAAAATACACTCTCCTCAGGTATTTTGATGCTCAGTCTCAATAGGGATTAAGAAAAATTCGATGAGTTCATCTCCTTCACCTGATTCACAGATGAACAAGCTAAGGCTCACAAAGTGGACAGGGTGGGTTAGAACGAGATATGGATGAAGAGGCGGCACAGCGTCCAGGCCCTCAGGCCAGTGCCCTGTGTGTGAGCTCAGCTATCCTTCCCCTTTTCATTACTTTTTGTTATCAATCTCTTACAGATCCTAAATATGTTCCTATTCCCCACGTCTATTCAAAGTCCACACCTAAAGAAAAACTTACCTCTAAATCAATAAACGATTTACTGAAGCGCTGTTCACATTTTGAAGTTAATACTTCAGACCTAAACAGGAGTGATGTCTGAGAGCTACTGCGTGTTTATCTGCCCCTGAACTCTACACTCACATGAGTGTGTCTCAGGGCTGTATCACTTCTTCCGACAGCTGGGATTTTCTCCCCTTCTCCATCGCTTGATGGGAAATACGACGCCTCACAAAGATTGGACTCCTCTGACATTCTAATAACCACATCCTGGAGGTAGGAGAATCTCTTAAGAGTCAACCAATTGTGTATCTCGTCACGAGGAGGGTAATGCAGAGCTGGCAGACAACTCTGGGTCCCCCTGACATCCGGTTCCTGCCTTTAGTGAGTCAGTCTGTTCCCGCCGAGGCTTCCAGAGACTGCACGCACTGTAGGGCAGAGCTGCATCTCGTTCATTATCTCTGTGGGCCTATAATGCCTTGACCAGACTATTCCTATAAAGGCTCCCCAGTCTATGGCACCCACCAGTTAACATCCAAAAGTCCCCCAAGTCCTCCGTAAATGGCCCAGAGCTCTTCATTGCAAGCCCAGCTTCTTATTTTTTGTCCTCTTCTTCTCTACCCAAGGGCATTGTGCCAATATCTCTTGTCCTATCCTATGATTTGTCCTTTCTGGGGTTTCTCATTCTTCATCCTGTCTACAGCCTCAGAAAACTCTGCAGACCCTAAAAACAACGAGTGCTTCCAGAATCTTGGGGCAACCTCCAGCATCCCAGGGCAATGAGGTCCCCTTGCTTACCTCCAGTGCGTCTCCGTCTACTGCGTCTGTCAAAAGGTCAGAGCTGGCTTGGACATGATGCAGAGAGTATTCCAGAAGCAGGACCTGCTAGCCTGCAACTGTCTCAAGTTTCTCTTCTTACTGCTACCCTGAGAAGAAGGCACTGTAGGTGTCCCTAATTTGGGAGGAAGGAGGGAAGGGCTCAGATTCTTCCTGACAACCTTTGTGATGGAATTATCTAGAATCAGGGTTCAAGATCAAGAATAATGGATGCAGATGGCAGAGAGCCAGAAGCAAAAGTCAAACTGCTATACTGACGTTAAAAACAAGTTTAGGGCAGAAAGGGGAGAGAGGAAGACTAGGGTTCCAGATGAGGAGCCCAAGAGAGCAACAGGGGATCGAAAAGCCGAGGTAAGGCCAGATCTGAAGGGTAGGTTGGAGCTGTCATCAGCTGAAAGAGAGAAGACCAGAAAGAAGAGGGTCTACACTGAGAATTCAAGATGCTCTGGGTACTCTGATCCCACTGAACTAGGTCTTTGGGAATTTGGAATTACTTTATATCTGTGTTTTGAAAACTGAACTGAGAGACACAGAAACAGGAAGCTGGTTCATCAGGCTAATAATACCAGGAGGGGGCTGAACAGGGCCTACTTTGGGCATTTATAGATACGGAGTCATGGGACAGAGTTCCCTGGAGGCTTGTTAGAGCTAACACTCACAATTGCCCAATTTCCTCTCTGTATCTCTTGTAAGATACCAAATTAGCATGGTAGTAGCTTTGTTAAAACAACTTGGGAGCTTTACTTCCTTGGCTGTGTTAAGTGGTAGCATTAAGGGGTTATGTTACTTGTATCAATTTGTAACCACAGTCCATGGCAAAAATGCACCTTCTATGTAAATAAATCTGTCTCCTTGCAGCAAGATTCCTGTCCCTAAGTTCCTCCTTTAAAGAAATCTGGAAGCTGCTAATACTCACACCTACAAATAATTTAGCGGTATATGACTGTATCTTTCTTAAAGAATTTTCTTGCTTCTGAGTAAAGATATTATATGAAAGTCATGTATCTAGTTTCACTCCCTCCTAAACTCCCACTAAAACTAGAGTGATTAAAACAAACATAAAATCTGCAAGGAAAAAGAATAGAGAGCAAACGATAGTGACACAATTTTGGTATTTGGAATCATGGATGAGGGAGTGGAGATCAAGGTGTTCTTAATATTGTCCTCAAGTTGACTAACGTTTAGATAACTTCTTGCTATGGGCCCCCTGACCTATAATTTCTTGGGACTTTACTTTAGAAAACTTATAATGGTAATTTTTTTCTCGGCCTCTGTGAGATATAAGTCTCTCCAGCTCTTGCCCATTTTACATCCTAGGACTGTCCTTCCACGGATTTGGGAGCCACCCCTTTGCAATATAATCATCACCTATGTCCTCCTCTCCATGCGAGGGCAGGAGCCTGACTCCACTGGGTGCCACCTAGCAGAGGCGGATGACCTGATCACGGTGAGCAGCCTCCCTAACGTCCCCCAAGCTTTTCTGCTGGCTCATCCCAGCACTCAATTCCCCCTGCCTTTTGTTTCAGCAAAGTTGAGTCTGATCTTTCTTCCTTAATTCAGTAATATTTCCCACCAGTTTTATTGAGATAGAATTGGCATATGGCACTGTTTAAGACATTTGAGGTATACAGCATAATGACATGACTTACATATTTTGTGAAATAACTACATAGTAAATTTAGTTAACATCCGTCATGTCATACAATTAGTCCCAAATGATTTTTTTCTTGTGATGAAAACAGTTAGGGTTTACAGTTAGGATCTACTCTCAACAACTTTCAAATACACTATATAGCAGTGTTAACAATAGTCATTATGCTGTACATTACACCCCCAGTATTTGTTTATCTTACAACTGGAAGTTTGCATGTTTTGACCACCTTTATCCAATTTCCCCACTCCCATCCCCTGCTTCTGGTAACCATAAATCTAACCTCTTTGTCTATGAGTTTGGGTATTTTTTTTCAATTCCACATATAAGTGAGATCATACAGTACTTGCCATTTTCTGTATGACTTATTTCAATGGACATAATGCCTTCAAGGTGTTTCCATGTTGTAAGAGGCAGGATTTCATTATTATGACTGAATAGTATTCCATTGTATATATGTATCGCATCTTTTAAAAATGTTATTGAAATATAGTTGATGCACAATATTATATTGGCTTCATATATATATACACACACATATATGGGTTGTATAAGTACAAAATAGTGATTTGACAATTAAAAACATTTTTTTATTAAGGTATTATTGATATACACTCTTATGAAGGTTTCACATGAAAAACAATGTGGTCACTACATTCACCCATAACATTGAGTCCCCTCCCATACCCCACTGCAGTCACTGTCCATGAGTGCAGTAAGATGCCACAGAGTCACTACCTGTCTTCTCTGTGCTACACTGTCTTCCCCATGATCCCCCCAACACCATGTGCACTAATCATAATACCCTTCAAAACCCTTCTCCCTCCCTCCCCACCCACCCTCCCCAACTCCTCCCCTTTGGTAACTGCTAGTTCCCTCTTGGAGTCTGTGGACCTGCTGCTGTTTTGTTCCTTCAGTTTTGCTTCATTGTTATACTCCACAAATGAGGGAAATCATTTGGTACTTGTCTTTCTCTGCCTGGCTTATTTCACTGAGTGTAATAACCTCCAGCTCCATCCATGTTGTTGCAAATGGTAGGATTTATTTTCTTCTTATGGCTGAATAGTATCCCATTGTGTCTATGTACCACATATTCTTTAACCATTCATCTACTGATGGACACTTAGATTGCTTCCATATCTTGGCTACTATAAATA